AGAGTGTAGATTGGGTACTGCCCCCTCCCTTAGTAACAGTTGGATACTATTTATACTGTAGTTATATATAGCCCTTAATAGGACCCCTAAATATAGACTGTTACTTGGGGGCAGTACCCAAAGTGTAGAGTTTAAGGTTCGGGACTTTGGAGGTGGGTATTTGGATGCTACACCGGTTTTAGGGATTTGAAGTTGAGGGCTTAAGGGTTATAGTCCCCCTTAAGTAGATAGAATATGGGGTATGAGGGGATCTTAGTATAATATACCCAAAGCCATATTCTATCTACTTAAGGGGGACTATATGGGTTTAGCGATGGCTTTCCATCACGTACCGGGTTTTCTAGCTCAGGCATTGGTGAACGTTCGGGCTTGTAAGGGCTTAGGGTTTAGGCCCTAATGGGGATTACAGATTTAGGGTTTAGGATCTGTAAGGATTATAGATTTGGGGTTTAGGGTTTAGGATCTATTGGGATTATAGATTTGGGGTTTTGGGTGTAGGATCTATTGGGATTATAGATTTGGGGTTTAGGGCGGGGGCTCAAGGCTTCTAGGGCCCTTTCAAAACCTTTCTGGATTATGTAGGAGCATATGGGGGCAAAAGCGAAATATTTCCAGGGTTTAAGGATAAGAGCTTGGGGTCTCTCAAAATTGGGGTACTCCCGTGGACTCTGGCATCAGATACATGGCGAACCAGAATTCTATGGCTGGTTTGAGATAGTCTCGAGTTGCTTTGCTTTGTAGGCTCAGTGTTCGTTCGTGCCCTAAGCCCCAAAACCCTAAGAGTTGAAGCTTACCTGCTGACTTCAGCCCCCAATTCTCACGTTGTATAACCCTAGTTGCTATTCAATGTTCGCTTTTCCTTTCAACTTGATTATCCATTCTCCATAATAGTAGTAGTTTCCAGTATTGGGATCCTTGTCATATAATAAGAATCATGATAAGAATGATGCTATTAATCACTCATACCCTGCCGCCGCATGCAAGCGGCCCAATGTCTCCTAGGATCCCGCGATGCCATCATAACCCTGGCCAAACATACTGAACCATGGTGCTTACTTAAGGTCTCAACTTGGACACCAAATATGCACGCTCACCAATACTCAATATTCTAAAGGAACCTTATATACACTCACTAAAGACCATCATAACAACCCTACTTCACATCCAGCGGATCCATTCTTGGCGTAAAGGGTCTGGGTACCAGAGCGCTCAAGTATGGGAGCTTCTCTAAGGGTCCCCTGCCTGATCCTCAAGAAGGACCACCTGCAACGCATCCACACGCATGCCCGAATCCTCTACACCTGAAGCCCTGAAATTCTAGAATATGCGCCCTAAACCCTAACCCTAAACCCTAAACCAGCTCTGGTAACTGAAATCCTGCAACCCTGGACCAAAAATCTGGGTTGCTCTTAAGGAACTTAAATTAAGTTACTATATTGGGGAAACCGTATTATGTACTATATATACCCATTATGGTAACTTAATTTAAGTTCCTTAACAGCAACCCAGAAAATAGTTGAGGATCATCCACTAAACTTATCAAGTCACTTTGTAAGACTAACTCCCACCCCCTGTGCGCTTAAACCCAAACCTTGCTGTTTTCAGGCCTTCATCGCTTCGCGGCCCAGGCTCCCAGGCGCAGCGATCTGCAGGGGGTTGGGGGGCTTCAGGGTTAGGGTCCAAAGCCTCAGGACCAAAATTGTTCTTTTGAAGGGTTCAGCTTTTTGAGTCATAGGTAAACAAAATGACCAGAATACTCAAGGAATGAACCTGGAATTGTGGGTGCTTCCCCCTTGCACTGAAGCAGGCTGGTTTAGGTGATTCTCACTTGCAAAGATGAGGGGATCATGACATGAACTGAAGGCTTGTACATTCACGACTCTTCGAAAAATGCTTCGGCAAGAACATGTGATTGGCAAGGTTCTGCAGAAGAGCTGGGCAACAGGGTAGGTAGATTGCAAAATGTTAGCGCTGTGTATAAAAGACAACCGTAAGCGACTATAGATAACAGCATGCTAGTGACATGAGTGCTTGCCCACGTTCAGTTCATGCTCTGGGGAACGCCCATAGATTATCCTGTCATGCCTTTTTCTTCTTTGGCCAGTAGATAGAGCCCGCACGAGCTTGCGATTCTTGGGCCCCAGTTCAGAAGGATGAGGCCCTTGCAGGGATAGGAGCAGTTACCGGCAGCCAAGTCAAACACGAGACTTTGACATACTTGGACAGCATGACAACGCCTGACGGCAACCCCTCCAATGATCAGCTTTACGGCTTTGTATCTCACAAGCTGGCAGCTGCACAAAGACGTACACAAGGTACACATTATGTGTGACGAGTATCTTTTTCTCCGACATGCTAGGGGGTCCGGCATTGTACAGGAAATTATCAAGGCTACCGAACGGTTGCACTCCCCTTCAAAGACGCCCTTCATTCCGAATCCTGGCACCCCCTTGCGAAGTTCAAGTCATCAGTTCAGGTAGGGTTCGCCCAAGCCGGGAAGCTCCCCCTCAAGAGCCTTAGCAGGAATTACTTGTCTCGTAACAATACTTAGTCAGAACCCTCCCCTCGGTCCTCCCTTGAATGCCACGTGACAACATAACGGGATGCAGGAGAATCGGCACCTCTACATCATAATCGCCGGCATCACTTTGGACACCTGGTGTGGGGACAGATGGCCTACAAAGGGGTTGCTTTCAGACAAGCATGCCATGATTGGAGGCCGTTTTGGGGTGAGGTTTGTGCTGAAGGGAAACCGACCA